ACCCTTCCTAAGGTATTAAGCAGAGCTGAGAGTAAAGCAATCAGAATTTCCTCTAGCAGTATGTGAAGACTGAGAGATTCAGTGTGGCATTCTCCTTTCTTTTAGACAAACCCCATACTAATACGACAAGGAGACTATTGAACCAAACACCAAGAAAATGAAAGCTATGAAGTCCTCATACAAAGTTGTCTCTACCTTGACAACAAAAGAAGATGAGCCCAAACAAATATACACATAGAAAAATCACACACCAGTTGTCAGGATGGACAGAAACTCAGATTGTCACTAAATTACATGGAAAAGGAATGCAAGCTGATTTAATGCCAAGAATGCAAGACTGTTTCAACCCCTATAAATTAATCAATGTAAGACGCCAAACATGTGGAGTGAGTAAAAGAAGAAACATGGCCATGTCAATAGACCCATGAAAAGCCTGTGGTAAAACATCACAATTGCTCAGCATAAAAGCTCTGAAGAATCTGAGAACAGAAGGGCACACCTAAGCAGTGAGACAGTGAGACAAACCCAAACGTAACACTACAGAAGGATAGCCTGGGATTACTTTACTCTACTCAGGACAGAGAAGGGTGCTCAGTCCCTCCATACTGACACAACACAAAGCATGAGTACACCCTACACCCTTCCCCATACTCCCACCTCTTCCTCAGTCCCCCCTACACGCCTGATCCTTTGCTACCATCTCCTCTCTCTTCTCCACCCAGGGCTCTTTGTTCTGTTTCCCAGGTGAGATCTGGCTGAGCCATGTGAGACTGCACAGGAGAAAAAGATTCTTTAGAAGAAAGTCCCTGGAACTTTCCAGGGAACAAAAAACGATGTCCAAAGGATAAACATAAGGCAGAGAAAACATGCACACACACACACTTTACGCCTTTACTCTCGGGGACGTGAGGCTCAACTTACACACACAGCTCACACACATGCAGAGTAGTTTTGCCAGGAATCCTGAGGAGGAGCCAGGGAGACTGCAAGAAAACTACAGTCACACGAGAATCCTCACTGCTGCAGTTCTCCAACAGGAGACCTCTAGAGAAAAGCTCTGTGCCCACTCCTAGAAGTCTACTTAATGTCAACAAACCCTCTGGCCACGTGTGCATGAGCAGAGAGCTTTTCTTCAACCAAGGAAACATTTTTTTTTTCTGATACAGGTGAGTGATCTGAATTATTCCGATGATTTCTAAAATTTTGTTTCCTGAGTTTGCTAGCTATAAAATACTGTGGCCTGATACATTCTCACAGCGGGCACACTGCGCGGGCCTGGACCTAAGATGTAGCATGCACACAACATGAGAAGACGCGTTTCTGAACGCTGTATTGACATCCCACGCTGCATACAATCTCAAGGAAATTAACGGGCTTTGCTTGGTAAAGGCTAATGTTTCCACCCCAGCCATTGCTGGAGCGCCGGTACGGTTTATTTTCTGATTCAATCAAATCTGCGCTGGTTGCCCGCGTGACAACCATCTCCAAACCTCTGCGGCAACGCCTACTGCGCGGGGCGAAAGGGGCAAGAGCGAGAAAGCAGGGCTGAGTTTAAATTCCAGGAGATCTGGAAACCCTGTGTGCAAACAACAGGCTGCGCCAACGCTCTAATTAATTTTATGACATAATCCTGGGAACCATAAGTCAGGTGGAGGAAAAAAAAAAAAAACACGGTAAAACGCAGTTCATGTGATCTAAAATACACCAAGGGAAAGACACGCACAGCAGAATCTGGGAGCCGGCTTCCTGATGAGCAGCAGAGAAACCGCTCGCACCCCCGCTCCTCCCTCCCGGGTCCCAGCCCCGCAGCTCCTCTGACCTGGGAGCTTCCAGGGCCGCCGGGCTGCGGTTCCCGCCACTGCGCTGCTGACTGCTGACTTTCCC